AACTCACGATACAAGATACCATATATGCAATGCAATTAAATTATGCACCATATAATTTGACATCATGCAGTCGTCTTGGATGAAAATTATAAAAAAAAAAAACAAAGGCAAAAATTAAAATTTCGTCGACTTTCGTACTAACCCTCGGCCTCCCGAACCAAGTATAGATAGTTTATTGTTTGTGGGTTATACCCCAATTGATATTTTATAACAGGTATTGAATAAGAGATGTTGCTTTAAGTCAGAATTATATCATCATTTTGGTGTTGGTAAAAATCCATCGGTCTAAACATAATATTTTTTTTAAATTATTTTTTCCACGACTCTCTCTGGCCACGGTGGTATAGTTATAGTGTCTGGTCTTATTATATGCAAAAAGAGATAGAAATAATAAACATAATAACATAATAATAGTATAATATAACAAGAGGAGAAAAAGATGAAAAATCAGACTCCGCACTACTCACGTAGACGAGACCGGGTTGTGGGGAGATGACGGTGGGGAGGGGGCCGTCCCCACCGCGAAAATCCCTTTGTCCCGCCCACCGGCGGCGGCACATAGGCACCACGACGGCGAAACGGCCGCCGCCGCACATAAGCCACCCCGGCCGGTCGTCGGCGGCGGCGGATACACATATTGTGCACGTCGTCGCGCGCGCACACACGCACACCGTCAGTCGTGCTCGTCGCCGTCGCCGTCGTCGTCTCGTCGTCTCGTCGCCTCTACGTCTCGTCGTCATCGTCGTCGTACGTCGCATCGGTCACACGGTTTTCTCACCCCCTCTCCACCACAAAATTAAACACCCCCACGCGACACGCGTTCGCGGCGTGCGTGTTATGTGCCGGCATGGTGCTAGGCGGCGAATCCGTTGTCGGTGAACTCGGTGCGGCCGCCACCAAACTGGACCCGTCCTGCAACATCGGGCTGTTCTCCGCGCTCAGGCCAGCCATGGACCTGTCGACGGCCGCGTACCGGTACAACCAAAACATGATGGAATACTACACGTGTGAGTACCGCGCATCAACCGTCAATCGTGTGGTATGATTTCGTATATTTTATGACGTCGCAGCACCTGCAGCAGTGTACCAGAGTATCGAGATTTCGCAGAATTGCCTAGATCGTCACTTATTTCGTTATCGTGGAGCTATAAAATGATAATGGCTTTATTTTTATAAATCATATATAATACTCGTGAAATTGTGTTTGACCATATGTCTCCGCAKTGGCTTATTCTGGAMGTGATGTAGACTTKAAAAATGTTTGGGCCACATACACGATACCGTTTCTACAGCACTGTTTATAGAGACGTTTTTCCGGTTTCATATAATCAGTGTTAAATGTATAATAATCTATAGCCACCGCGATAACGTGTCACTGGCCATGTGTTGTGGTTCACATGCATATACTTGTAGTGTAAAGCACTAMAATATTTGGCGACGAAAAAAATATCGAAAATTTGCTCAATATATCCTAACAGTTGGACGATACCAGAGAGAAATGGAGATCTAAATAATTRTGCGTATATGGCAGTGGAATGTGAACGAAATTAATATTGACTGCAAAGGGCCCAGGGTGTCTGTAAAAGAGAAAAAAATTTGGAATATTCGTATCTTATATTATGTATGACCACTCCGATAGCACGATGATATTATTTGTTATGTTATCATTGGTGAGTTTGAGGACTCTGGACTTTATTAAACTCGGATAGGACCGTAGTTTGACCTATTGTTGTTGTGTAGGTTACCCATAACATGAAATTATTCAAGCGCGCGCTATAAGTACCTATAACTTTAGTGTAACACCCTGCAAAGATTGTCAAGCGCAATAAAATAACCGTCGACCGGGGTGATGGGCAGTGGCGATAACTTACCCGAAATATTATTGTATGTTTGTTTTTAATTCTGTCTTAGAGGTACACTCGCACCAATTAGCCGGAAAAAAAGCACTGGGGCTTGATTGGCACAATATAATAATACAGCGAATGCAACTCTCCTGGCACGATTTTTGGTACCGTCCAATTAAGATTTCTTCGCGGTCCATTCGAGTGGACGACAACGGCTTTTGATTGTCTTCTAGACCAGACAAATATTCACTTTTGTATCCCAAAAATAAAAGATTTAATTAACCACATATTACCGAAACTGCCGCTGTATAGAGACCTCTGCAGTTGAAGCTATTTTTGTTGGTCATCGCTTTTGTGTGTTTACCATGCCAGTTTACGTTTTAAAATTAAATTTCATCAAAACTTTTAAAATCATTCAGACTTGACTTAACATTTAAAATCTTAACCCATTATGGTGTATATGTTCAATTAATAATAATAATAAAATAAAAYGAAGATAATCTTTTAARTTGATACATTAAACAATAAATGAATAATTCTTATTTTCTGTATAATGTATGATCGTRAAGTTTTTGAAATTCAGAGTAATCGATATAGTCCTGACATTAGATTTTACTTAATTATACTTGAGTTCAAAAATAGAAAATTAAATCAACCAACATTAGGCATAGTATAGTTTTTTTTTCTAATTCAGTAAGTATGCGAAGTGGTTCGTTGTAATATCGATAATGATATCATCATGATTATATTTCATAYACGGGGCGACCAATATATACATTGCATACATGTCAAGTGGTGTGTGCACGCGTGGCCCTTTAATCGACACTCGATTCTGTAGGGTAGATTCATTAAAAGCAACAAGGGCGAGTAATCCCAAAGGGCAAAACACTCTTAACAGGGATAAAACTGCAATCTCCGTGTTGGAACAGTTACTGATTGTTTTCGCAACAAAAACCGATCCAATGTGGGCAGTTTATCTTATAATGCACACAACATAGTGTGTTTTTTTACTTTTATATCGACCACCAGAGTACACGTATTTTTATTATTATTATTTTTTTTTTTTTTTAATTGAATTGTATACGCGACTCGAAATAACAACAATGTAAAGTTTCGTTAAAACCGTTCGGTGGTACCTAAAAAGTAAATAAAATGTATTATAAATATATTACACCGTATACTATGTATATTGATTATAGTAAATTGGAATTATGAAAGTATTATTATAGGTATACAATATTAATACAACTCATATTAATATACCTATTATCATATTGTATTATTCAATAAYCCATATGTGATTTCAGATGATCGTCATATTATTAATATTTATTATTTTAGACGTTCGAAAATTCTGAAATCACATAATATATTATAGATTATAGAATAATAGAATTATACCAAGTTAATTGATAACTGATAATCTATTATACAATAATATAACGATACAACATTAAAAGTTCTCTACCATATWRYWATATAGAGACTATTATTATAGTCGTTCGATATACCACCGCGGTATATTAATCGCGCGAGGTCGTCGATCGAGGGCTCTTCACCGAACATAAGTGCACCGCTGTGCCCGTAGATGTGTATACATATATAGAGTATAATATATATAGTATAGAGGTGCCGCAGTAGGTATATTATTTACACGTATATAAGTATAAATTAGCGGAGGTTTATTGTTTTCACGGCGGCGCGGAGACTCGAGAGCCACAACATGTCGACCCTTAATAGCCACCGCCCTCTTAACCCCGTCGTCGGTACTCGAGGATAATCTGCTTAATTCGTCGGCCGACCCCCGCAAAGCCCCAAACGAGATTATCTCGTTAGACCATCTGATACGCGGGCACACGACTGCGGGTAGTTTTGTTTGTAATCGTAAACGCCACGTACCACACCCACAAACACACGTATTATTATTATTATTATACACAAACAAGAATTTCTACACACACACGTGCAAACGACCCAGCACGATAGATTTTTCGTACGATATCCGTATTATCATCATTACTATATATATACGAGGTATTTTATTGTTGGCCAGCCGAACCGGACCTTTTCACACTTTTCGCCCGTCCGATTCGGACCGTCCTCCGATCGCCACTCACTATATTATATTGTGTGTGTGTGCTCGTTGTAAACAAAATGATTGTATTAAACCGCCGCACGCGCCATAGCACAATACGTCCAGATGTTTTAATTAAAACGACGAGCTTAAATAGCACCCGTACATAATATTATAAGAGTACAATGATGATAATATTATGTATTATTTTAAATCGTTATAACATTAATGTATCGTTTACAAGTGTAATAATATGAATATAAAATATCGCCAAATAATGTGTTTTCCYGTACAACAAGACGACGATAAACTGAAAATCGATAATTATTCGCTATTGTTACCATTTTTTCTATCATTACCAATCATCATATTATGATAATAACATTGTCTTCGTCGTCGTATAGCGCAAATATTATTTATACCGYGGTTGCWGTCGCGCGTACAWTATATTACAATATTATTATAATAGTTTATAACATCACGTTGCGATAGGGATAATGTTTGTCGCAGTGCAACAATTGCGTGTGAAGTGCGGACATTCGGAATGTGTATACCYAATATATAATATTATAATATATCATAGTATTAGCGAGTAAAAAACCAGGTCAATACGTGATTGCGGTATATAACAATAATCATAATATATATACAGGCGACGATCGTTCGGCGAATAATGATATTTATAGGCGTATGTGTAACAACTAACAATTATCGGTTTTTGGCCATTTTTTTTGTTTACTCCACGTCTTGTGGTGTGACGATACATCGATACATGATATATACGACATCTTATAATAACCTGTGTAAATATACGCGAGGAAGGCACGAACAAAAGAAAACAACGCGTTGATCGAATCGACGTGTAGGTACTCGTGTACAATATACAACAACAACAATATTATAATATGTAGGTACATGATACGGCGATGTATGTTATTGTCCACGTCATATATAAATACATAGATAGAGTACATAATAATATTTAATATTTGAAATCGATCCTTTTGTTTTGTATATCTTCGCCAAGGCTATTTAAAGACGTGTACACACACTAACAGATTATTATTTATTGTCGTTCGCAGGTCACGGTGGTGTAAATCAACTGGGCGGAGTGTTCGTAAACGGCCGACCGTTACCGGACCTGGTCAGGCAGAGGATAGTCGAACTGGCTCACAACGGGACCCGGCCGTGTGACATATCCAGACAGCTCAGAGTTTCTCACGGATGTGTTTCAAAAATCTTGTCCAGGTAATAAAAATTAATGCCAAATATTGGAAAATTATTTTATGTTTTTCCAATCGCATATATGAATTAAACTGTACCATATACTATAGGTACCGTATATACAAATTTAGGGGTCACCAATTTATTAAAGAACTAAAATAAGAATTTGAAAATTATTCGTGGGCCATCAAAATTGCTAACCTCGGCAATAACCAATGAACAAACATGATAAATTACAACACTAAAACGAAAGAATATTATCGGCTTTTACTTTTTTTTTCTTGTATATGCGAGCCGGATAAAATTTATCCGCGAGCCGCCGGTTGGTGGACTGCGGGATCTTTAATACTATCTTTCGGCTATTCCGATATCAGTAAAAAAATTTGTCCCACGACTTACCGAGCACAATAAGCTTCAATGTTCGTGATACATTATTTATTTCTACTGCAGAATAATATAATCTTTGTATATCTATAATCACTRCTGCAGCTGCTCCGTATCAAAAATCGTCCAAAACTTGCGTGCACCGAGAACTAGCGGATTATTATATTTACCACTAGATTAAAAACCTTTTAAAATAAACAACCACCGACTTTTTATGATCCTAAGGACGATTTCCTTTCTACTCCGGTATTCATATATATATTTTTTTAGTTATGTTCAATTCAATATATGAAACAATTACCATACTATACCGGAACCAAGATAATGGATCTACTCTTTCGAGCCTCGACCGCAACTGATGTCCACGGGTTTTTCCCCCGCTTCCGGTTCTTCCTGGGACAATATCGTCCCCGTATATTATATTTGTTTTTTTTTTTTTACAAACATACCCTAATAAAATAGAGAAGGTCGTAAAACCATGTCGCCGCTATTAATTTTTATGTTACTCTCCGGTTCTCTCTCACCCGTACGCTACTCTATACGCGAATCTTTTTGCCATTTATTTTTTTTTGTTCGCGGAAACKGGTTGCGCGTGCTGGTGTATTACATGCATTATGCATTAAGGCACAAGTGGACCAACCAAAAAAAATATCAAGTACGCAAACTTCATATTGTGTCTATACATAGTCTATATTGCACATAATACAATATATTTTAATATATATTATAGACGTATGTACATTATTTGGCAATGGAAGTGTCCGAAATTCGATTTAAAATTATAAATTGTATGTAATTGTAACGAAATATAATTTATATGATAATGTGCCCATCGAGTATACAGTCAAAAAATCATATAATATTTTCACACCATTAACAATAATAATCACCATCAAAATAATTCGTATACGTAATAATAATCTGCAGTGATTACTGCTATAAACGAGCATTTATAGATATACGTATACCTCACTTCACAAATCTCAACCGTATAAAAACTCGTTGTATTTTGTGATTTTGTCAGCTATCGGCAGATAATGTTGTACGCATAATTTACCTAAATAACATGCCAACAAATGATATCGTATAACTCGGACAGCTTATTTATTACATCATGATGAAAATCTATGATATATAATAATATATGTATGTATATTGTATATGTATACAGCATCGTCGGTAACAGTTAAAAAATGTACGTCCCTATGACGTAGCTGGGGTACGATTATTGACAAAGCAAATAAAAAAAAAAAAACAATCAACATAATATTATGACGACCGCGGCGAGAGAACTATATGACGATGTGATGCGATCGAAAACTGTTTCTCTGTTTTGTTTGGTTTTTAAATATTTTACTGTCACCGCGTCGTAGATATCGCGTATANGACAACAATATCGCATTTAGTATTATTATTTTTTTCAACTGGAATCAATGGTAATCGTTTGGTAAACATCCAACTGTGTATAATATGTAGTTCATAACACTAATATATACCTATATATACACGTTCATACCTACAAGTACATATATTAAATATGTATATGTAATATATTATATACCCATATAGGATGTATACGCTCGTCGGATCCCTCTTTCGGTAGCTATGCTGCTGTCAGCTGCATCACTGCAGCTATTATTATTATTATATATACCTGCATCCCAACACACCTTTTGCCGGCTTTTACGATCAAGTGTCCCCCACCCGCTCGCGTTGTGTGCTCGAGCCCGTTCGCTATTCCCCGCATCCCTCTCGCTCAATCTAGCTCGAGTAAACGAACCTGGCGTTTAATCGATAGGGATATATATTATTATTATATATACACGGCTGCCGTCACACATATCATTATATACCTCCTGTACACAAACCACGCGGGGTAGCCGTGACAATCCCGAATTTATTAACTCCGCATTGTGAGCGCCGTCGAGAGGGGGACACACGCACAACAATATAATAATAGTGTTATACACCGCCGACTTGTGCAGCGTCTGAAATGCGAGGGACGCTGTAGATGACGACAATGTAAAGAATTTTCGAATTTYATTCCTCTCCATTCAATAGGTATGTGTGTAACGTTTTCGAGTTTTTTTTTTTATGACTTTCCGACACGACAATCTTACCGTCGATACACTTTATACGACCATTATACAATATGGGCTTCTGTTATATACATACGGTTTCGTTCCAAGTGTTCGTGGAAAGTAATTTGTTTAGCCGGCGCAAACACATTGGCGTTTAAGTATTGGTCAAAACTCAAAAGGCTAYCTGCAGTTACCCTACACCATCACCGATACCGACGATAGCCGTTCCGGCAGATCGATCATCGGCGATCAGAATTAGAAACACTCACACAGCTCTGCCTCGATATCTCTCGCTCTCTCACCTTGTCTTACTTATTCATAATATTATTATGATACGAAACCGTACACCACATTGTCGCATATTTTGTTGCGTTTCTGGCGATATCTATAAATAATAATATTGTTTATTATAATATTATATATTATTGCTATATCATGTCGTTTAACCCAATCCACCGCCGCCGCCGCCGACTATCGAGGTGCACACGCGTAAGCTTGGATCATCATCGGTGCATGGCACGCCCCGGCGAATCCGTCATCGAGTCGGCCACCCACACAGACACCGCGGCGCTGCCACACACATAGGTACACACGCCATTGCACATCATTAACCGCCGCGCACCGCACACGTCATACGGTATACACACACCATCGGCGCGCGTGTACGCGCACACAAGTTAAGTGGCATTTTTTCACGTGTCGTCGTGTGACAATCATCGTCACGAGCGATGCGACAAATTCGCGTCGGGATCAGCCGCGTGAGACCGACCGGTGGCGCGGTGCGCSTGCGTGCGCGCGGCCGGGCGAAATGAAATGCATGTGTGACCGGGGAAAAAAAAATGATTTGAGCGCGTCACACGTCGTTTAACGGGTCTTTTGATGAGCGGTATAGCGGTGGCCAAAAAGGCAGTCGTCGCCGCCACACGCAAATCACGTAATGGCCACGGCGTATATATATATATACGCGCGCAACGCAGCCGCGGCCGATAAACGATTGACGCCGCCCGCCGCCCGACGTCACGGACGATTGTGCGTACACGCCGTATAGTGCCCACTGCTGGAGCGGAGGGCCTGCAGGAGGAGGAGGCGTTAACTTAAACATTTAATTACCTACTGCAGCTGCATGTGGCTGCCGTCAGGTTTGCGCGGCTCAGACGTGCGCACATTATTATTTCTGTTTTTCTGTCGATTTTCTCCGATCATCGCTGCAGACGTTCAAAAGCGAATAGATATTATAATATATTGTGGCCTTTAATACAGTTTCTACATTTTTTATTTTTTTCAACTTAAATGTAAGTCCTTTTTATATACGATTTACCGTATTTATACATATATACGGTGTACATTATTGTATACATCAAATCTCAAGTCGAAAAGAAATAACTACCACACGTATATATAATATACAAACTGCAGTACATGATGTATATTGTATACTATATACGTATGTGGTATACTAGTATGTATATCGTACCTACATATATAATATATATATATATATAAACGGTTTTTTGCTTTATATGTGGCATTTCGATTGGCATTCCCCAAAGGAACCATTACACGGCACAAAGGACGAGCGGGATGGAAACAAACGTTTTGTAGCCCGTAAAGCTTTTGCGGGCGCGGTTTAATAACACAAAAAGCTCTGTGCTGGCTTTTTCGACTTTTGGCGCTTATTAAATATTTACGGCCCCGCCACCACCACCACAACCACCACCACCACCCGTTTACGTATATATTATACACTATATAAGCGTACGGCAAAGTGTAAGAGTCGGGTAGGAGGTGAGAAATGGTGAGGGGGTGACGCTCGCGGAGATCGAGAAGGGTGAAAAAAGCGTACGTAAAGCGTTTTCGAGTTTCCGGTCCGCCCATTGGCCAATGGCAAAGGGTCCTACAGGAACCTCCGCGCGGCACATGCGTCATCCACCACCACCACGACGCCACTCTCACGATATACGGTGAGAGTGGAAAGGATTTTTGACGGGGGCCACAAAAAAATCAAAGTGCGCACCGCCGTGGGGTGGCTCCAACGGGGAGGATTTCAAATATTCACGAAACCCACAAATTTGGCACGCTTCGACGCGGCGAATAAATAAAAAATGTTCCTCTTCGCATAAACCAAGTAAACTGTATAGGGTTAAAACTCACGATACAAGATACCATATATGCAATGCAATTAAATTATGCACCATATATAATTTGACATCATGCAGTCGTCTTGGATGAAAATTATAAAAAAAAAAAACAAAGGCAAAAATTAAAATTTCGTCGACTTTCGTACTAACCCTCGGCCTCCCGAACCAAGTATAGATAGTTTATTGTTAGTGGGTTATACCCCAATTGATATTTTATAACAGGTATTGAATAAGAGATGTTGCTTTAAGTCAGAATTATATCATCATTTTGGTGTTGGTAAAAATCCATCGGTCTAAACATAATATTTTTTTWAAATTATTTTTTCCACGACTCTCTCTGGCCACGGTGGTATAGTTATAGTGTCTGGTCTTATTATATGCAAAAAGAGATAGAAATAATAAACATAATAACATAATAATAGTATAATATAACAAGAGGAGAAAAAGATGAAAAATCAGACTCCGCACTACTCACGTAGACGAGACCGGGTTGTGGGGAGATGACGGTGGGGAGGGGGCCGTCCCCACCGCGAAAATCCCTTTGTCCCGCCCACCGGCGGCGGCACATAGGCACCACGACGGCGAAACGGCCGCCGCCGCACATAAGCCACCCCGGCCGGTCGTCGGCGGCGGCGGATACACATATTGTGCACGTCGTCGCGCGCGCACACACGCACACCGTCAGTCGTGCTCGTCGCCGTCGCCGTCGTCGTCTCGTCGTCTCGTCGCCTCTACGTCTCGTCGTCATCGTCGTCGTACGTCGCATCGGTCACACGGTTTTCTCACCCCCTCTCCACCACAAAATTAAACACCCCCACGCGACACGCGTTCGCGGCGTGCGTGTTATGTGCCGGCATGGTGCTAGGCGGCGAATCCGTTGTCGGTGAACTCGGTGCGGCCGCCACCAAACTGGACCCGTCCTGCAACATCGGGCTGTTCTCCGCGCTCAGGCCAGCCATGGACCTGTCGACGGCCGCGTACCGGTACAACCAAAACATGATGGAATACTACACGTGTGAGTACCGCGCATCAACCGTCAATCGGTGGTATGATTTCGTATATTTTATGACGTGCACCTGCAGCCGTGTACCAGAGTATCGAGATTTCGCAGAATTACCTAGATCGTCACTTATTTCGTTATCGTGGAGCTATAAAATGATAATGGCTTTATTTTTATAAATCATATATAATACTCGTGAAATTGTGTTTGACCATATGTCTCCGCAGTGGCTTATTCTGGAAGTGATGTAGACTTTAAAAATGTTTGGGCCACATACACGATACCGTTTCTACAGCACTGTTTATAGAGACGTTTTTCCGGTTTCATATAATCAGTGTTAAATGTATAATAATCTATAGCCACCGCGATAACGTGTCACTGGCCATGTGTTGTGGTTCACATGCATATACTTGTAGTGTAAAGCACTAMAATATTTGGCGACGAAAAAAATATCGAAAATTTGCTCAATATATCCTAACAGTTGGACGATACCAGAGAGAAATGGAGATCTAAATAATTRTGCGTATATGGCAGTGGAATGTGAACGAAATTAATATTGACTGCAAAGGGCCCAGGGTGTCTGTAAAAGAGAAAAAAATTTGGAATATTCGTATCTTATATTATGTATGACCACTCCGATAGCACGATGATATTATTTGTTATGTTATCATTGGTGAGTTTGAGGACTCTGGACTTTATTAAACTCGGATAGGACCGTAGTTTGACCTATTGTTGTTGTGTAGGTTACCCATAACATGAAATTATTCAAGCGCGCGCTATAAGTACCTATAACTTTAGTGTAACACCCTGCAAAGATTGTCAAGCGCAATAAAATAACCGTCGACCGGGGTGATGGGCAGTGGCGATAACTTACCCGAAATATTATTGTATGTTTGTTTTTAATTCTGTCTTAGAGGTACACTCGCACCAATTAGCCGGAAAAAAAGCACTGGGGCTTGATTGGCACAATATAATAATACAGCGAATGCAACTCTCCTGGCACGATTTTTGGTACCGTCCAATTAAGATTTCTTCGCGGTCCATTCGAGTGGACGACAACGGCTTTTGATTGTCTTCTAGACCAGACAAATATTCACTTTTGTATCCCAAAAATAAAAGATTTAATTAACCACATATTACCGAAACTGCCGCTGTATAGAGACCTCTGCAGTTGAAGCTATTTTTGTTGGTCATCGCTTTTGTGTGTTTACCATGCCAGTTTACGTTTTAAAATTAAATTTCATCAAAACTTTTAAAATCATTCAGACTTGACTTAACATTTAAAATCTTAACCCATTATGGTGTATATGTTCAATTAATAATAATAATAAAATAAAAYGAAGATAATCTTTTAARTTGATACATTAAACAATAAATGAATAATTCTTATTTTCTGTATAATGTATGATCGTRAAGTTTTTGAAATTCAGAGTAATCGATATAGTCCTGACATTAGATTTTACTTAATTATACTTGAGTTCAAAAATAGAAAATTAAATCAACCAACATTAGGCATAGTATAGTTTTTTTTTCTAATTCAGTAAGTATGCGAAGTGGTTCGTTGTAATATCGATAATGATATCATCATGATTATATTTCATAYACGGGGCGACCAATATATACATTGCATACATGTCAAGTGGTGTGTGCACGCGTGGCCCTTTAATCGACACTCGATTCTGTAGGGTAGATTCATTAAAAGCAACAAGGGCGAGTAATCCCAAAGGGCAAAACACTCTTAACAGGGATAAAACTGCAATCTCCGTGTTGGAACAGTTACTGATTGTTTTCGCAACAAAAACCGATCCAATGTGGGCAGTTTATCTTATAATGCACACAACATAGTGTGTTTTTTTACTTTTATATCGACCACCAGAGTACACGTATTTTTATTATTATTATTTTTTTTTTTTTTTAATTGAATTGTATACGCGACTCGAAATAACAACAATGTAAAGTTTCGTTAAAACCGTTCGGTGGTACCTAAAAAGTAAATAAAATGTATTATAAATATATTACACCGTATACTATGTATATTGATTATAGTAAATTGGAATTATGAAAGTATTATTATAGGTATACAATATTAATACAACTCATATTAATATACCTATTATCATATTGTATTATTCAATAAYCCATATGTGATTTCAGATGATCGTCATATTATTAATATTTATTATTTTAGACGTTCGAAAATTCTGAAATCACATAATATATTATAGATTATAGAATAATAGAATTATACCAAGTTAATTGATAACTGATAATCTATTATACAATAATATAACGATACAACATTAAAAGTTCTCTACCATATWRYWATATAGAGACTATTATTATAGTCGTTCGATATACCACCGCGGTATATTAATCGCGCGAGGTCGTCGATCGAGGGCTCTTCACCGAACATAAGTGCACCGCTGTGCCCGTAGATGTGTATACATATATAGAGTATAATATATATAGTATAGAGGTGCCGCAGTAGGTATATTATTTACACGTATATAAGTATAAATTAGCGGAGGTTTATTGTTTTCACGGCGGCGCGGAGACTCGAGAGCCACAACATGTCGACCCTTAATAGCCACCGCCCTCTTAACCCCGTCGTCGGTACTCGAGGATAATCTGCTTAATTCGTCGGCCGACCCCCGCAAAGCCCCAAACGAGATTATCTCGTTAGACCATCTGATACGCGGGCACACGACTGCGGGTAGTTTTGTTTGTAATCGTAAACGCCACGTACCACACCCACAAACACACGTATTATTATTATTATTATACACAAACAAGAATTTCTACACACACACGTGCAAACGACCCAGCACGATAGATTTTTCGTACGATATCCGTATTATCATCATTACTATATATATACGAGGTATTTTATTGTTGGCCAGCCGAACCGGACCTTTTCACACTTTTCGCCCGTCCGATTCGGACCGTCCTCCGATCGCCACTCACTATATTATATTGTGTGTGTGTGCTCGTTGTAAACAAAATGATTGTATTAAACCGCCGCACGCGCCATAGCACAATACGTCCAGATGTTTTAATTAAAACGACGAGCTTAAATAGCACCCGTACATAATATTATAAGAGTACAATGATGATAATATTATGTATTATTTTAAATCGTTATAACATTAATGTATCGTTTACAAGTGTAATAATATGAATATAAAATATCGCCAAATAATGTGTTTTCCYGTACAACAAGACGACGATAAACTGAAAATCGATAATTATTCGCTATTGTTACCATTTTTTCTATCATTACCAATCATCATATTATGATAATAACATTGTCTTCGTCGTCGTATAGCGCAAATATTATTTATACCGYGGTTGCWGTCGCGCGTACAWTATATTACAATATTATTATAATAGTTTATAACATCACGTTGCGATAGGGATAATGTTTGTCGCAGTGCAACAATTGCGTGTGAAGTGCGGACATTCGGAATGTGTATACCYAATATATAATATTATAATATATCATAGTATTAGCGAGTAAAAAACCAGGTCAATACGTGATTGCGGTATATAACAATAATCATAATATATATACAGGCGACGATCGTTCGGCGAATAATGATATTTATAGGCGTATGTGTAACAACTAACAATTATCGGTTTTTGGCCATTTTTTTTGTTTACTCCACGTCTTGTGGTGTGACGATACATCGATACATGATATATACGACATCTTATAATAACCTGTGTAAATATACGCGAGGAAGGCACGAACAAAAGAAAACAACGCGTTGATCGAATCGACGTGTAGGTACTCGTGTACAATATACAACAACAACAATATTATAATATGTAGGTACATGATACGGCGATGTATGTTATTGTCCACGTCATATATAAATACATAGATAGAGTACATAATAATATTTAATATTTGAAATCGATCCTTTTGTTTTGTATATCTTCGCCAAGGCTATTTAAAGACGTGTACACACACTAACAGATTATTATTTATTGTCGTTCGCAGGTCACGGTGGTGTAAATCAACTGGGCGGAGTGTTCGTAAACGGCCGACCGTTACCGGACCTGGTCAGGCAGAGGATAGTCGAACTGGCTCACAACGGGACCCGGCCGTGTGACATATCCAGACAGCTCAGAGTTTCTCACGGATGTGTTTCAAAAATCTTGTCCAGGTAATAAAAATTAATGCCAAATATTGGAAAATTATTTTATGTTTTTCCAATCGCATATATGAATTAAACTGTACCATATACTATAGGTACCGTATATACAAATTTAGGGGTCACCAATTTATTAAAGAACTAAAATAAGAATTTGAAAATTATTCGTGGGCCATCAAAATTGCTAACCTCGGCAATAACCAATGAACAAACATGATAAATTACAACACTAAAACGAAAGAATATTATCGGCTTTTACTTTTTTTTTCTTGTATATGCGAGCCGGATAAAATTTATCCGCGAGCCGCCGGTTGGTGGACTGCGGGATCTTTAATACTATCTTTCGGCTATTCCGATATCAGTAAAAAAATTTGTCCCACGACTTACCGAGCACAATAAGCTTCAATGTTCGTGATACATTATTTATTTCTACTGCAGAATAATATAATCTTTGTATATCTATAATCACTRCTGCAGCTGCTCCGTATCAAAAATCGTCCAAAACTTGCGTGCACCGAGAACTAGCGGATTATTATATTTACCACTAGATTAAAAACCTTTTAAAATAAACAACCACCGACTTTTTATGATCCTAAGGACGATTTCCTTTCTACTCCGGTATTCATATATATATTTTTTTAGTTATGTTCAATTCAATATATGAAACAATTACCATACTATACCGGAACCAAGATAATGGATCTACTCTTTCGAGCCTCGACCGCAACTGATGTCCACGGGTTTTTCCCCCGCTTCCGGTTCTTCCTGGGACAATATCGTCCCCGTATATTATATTTGTTTTTTTTTTTTTACAAACATACCCTAATAAAATAGAGAAGGTCGTAAAACCATGTCGCCGCTATTAATTTTTATGTTACTCTCCGGTTCTCTCTCACCCGTACGCTACTCTATACGCGAATCTTTTTGCCATTTATTTTTTTTTGTTCGCGGAAACKGGTTGCGCGTGCTGGTGTATTACATGCATTATGCATTAAGGCACAAGTGGACCAACCAAAAAAAATATCAAGTACGCAAACTTCATATTGTGTCTATACATAGTCTATATTGCACATAATACAATATATTTTAATATATATTATAGACGTATGTACATTATTTGGCAATGGAAGTGTCCGAAATTCGATTTAAAATTATAAATTGTATGTAATTGTAACGAAATATAATTTATATGATAATGTGCCCATCGAGTATACAGTCAAAAAATCATATAATATTTTCACACCATTAACAATAATAATCACCATCAAAATAATTCGTATACGTAATAATAATCTGCAGTGATTACTGCTATAAACGAGCATTTATAGATATACGTATACCTCACTTCACAAATCTCAACCGTATAAAAACTCGTTGTATTTTGTGATTTTGTCAGCTATCGGCAGATAATGTTGTACGCATAATTTACCTAAATAACATGCCAACAAATGATATCGTATAACTCGGACAGCTTATTTATTACATCATGATGAAAATCTATGATATATAATAATATATGTATGTATATTGTATATGTATACAGCATCGTCGGTAACAGTTAAAAAATGTACGTCCCTGTGACGTAGCTGGGGTACGATTATTGACAAAGCAAATAAAAAAAAAAAAACAATCAACATAATATTATGACGACCGCGGCGAGAGAACTATATGACGATGTGATGCGATCGAAAACTGTTTCTCTGTTTTGTTTGGTTTTTAAATATTTTACTGTCACCGCGTCGTAGATATCGCGTATTTATACGTATCGCTTGGAGTGTATAATATTATTATCTCCCGTCCGATCCGTTTCTTCCATCACCTCCGCCGCTGCATCTCATCCCTCAGCCACTGCAGACTCCGCCGCCACAAGTTTCCGCCCGACGCGAGTTTTATAATAACATTAACCGCGGCCGCGTGTATTATATCCGTGCGGCGGCGGCTTCATCTGGGAAGTGTCACCGGCTGCGCGCGCGTGCCCGGGCTAAGTGCAAAATTGAGTTAGCTGTATATACGCGCGCACGCGGTGTTGTATAATACGGTTTTAGTTCGGTCGGCGGCAGCAGACCTATAACAATAATAATAATAATACACGCGACGAAATTATTATATTTTATATGCGTAGTAGGGTCGACGGTACTACACATCGTGTATACATTTATAGACCGCGGTGGCAAAAACAACCGTGAAAAATCGTTGTATGCGCCCGTCCCGCGAACAATATGAGTCTCGATTATATTAAATATTATGAGATTTCCAACACACGCGGAAGGGTTGGCCGTCGACGGGACCGTGCATAATATTGATAAATTCGCGAAAATCGTCCAGTGCAGATACACTCGGCCGCGATTTCGATTCGACTTGCAGCTCGACGTGTGTGACGCGTTGCATACATGCAATAATAATATTGCATATTAATAATATGATATTATATACCTAAAACATAATAATCGTACGCGAACGACGTACACTATATACGATTTAATGGTAATTATCAGTACCTATATATAGGCGATTGTACATGGTGTTTTGATAACTGCAATGCATTATTGCTATATAGTGCTGCAGGGTATAATATTATACCATTTATACCGYGGTTGCAGCGTACTATGTCGTGTAATAGTCATAAACTCATAACAATCGTCTTCGCGATATTTCTGTGTCCGTTTACATTATTACGACGAATACGTGCTCCTTGATCGTAACATAAACTGCACGCCATCATATAGGTATTTTTATTCAGTGGGATATACAATAATAATATTATACAATCGCGTGGGGACGCAAACAGCGACGGCTGTAACCTGGTCGACGGTGTGGAGGGTCCGGCCGGGACGGGGAGGTGTGGGCGAATTAATAATCGTATCTCGCTACAGACCACGCGTCCAAGAATAATATATTTTCGAGTCTGTGTATTTTTTGGGATAAAAAAAAATGACTCTAACCTCTTTGTGATTCGTGTACACCGGATCGTATTTTCGACTCTCCGTGATTTTGGCTCAGGTGTAGACATTGACAAACTGCTATGTACTATAAATACCACTTTAGATACAAAGATTTTGGGGTCGAAAAGATACAACGCTTTAGAAACACAGTTCTAATTTAACGACTCGTTTGTTCCAATTAAGCTACTCTGAACTTTACGTTTTTAATGCGTCGAGACAATATTGTCAACGCGATCACTGCGGCGTGTTAATTGAACCGTTTTAATAGCAAGCTGACTAATTTTTACCTAGCAGTTATAATTTTTTCTTTATTTTTTTTTTTTTTTTAAAGCGTTGTACATTATTTTCAATACTCGGACTAAATAGCGTCAGCGATGTTAACATTTCACCATGTTCCACCGTTCCACGCCCGGCATGCAAATACTTTTCAGCGTCGTTTTTAAAAGCACCGGAAACAATGGTCGGACCTACATGAATAGACTAAAATCTGCATTTTCTATATTATACTGTTATACGCGGGACACGGAAAGGACGAAAAAAATTACAATCTTCCAAACACAATGATAATATATAATGTTATGTGTGTATCTGCGTATATTATTACTATAATAAATAATCACTAGATAGCTCCTTTGTTTTAAACGGGATCGTGTCCCGGAAGTAGGGCATCTTCATATGCATATAATGACCAACGGTCATTTTCCATATCCTGGTGATGACCACCATCGCAGGGAGAAGGCCTTTCATATGGTAAAAAGGACGCATTGTTTTTCGCAGCAATCAGAGATGTGCTTTTTACAGAAAACCAAATGCGGTAGTCACGAACTCAAAACGCGCGTAGCCACCATCGCAATCTTAAAAATTTAATAATAATGTGATACTATATTGTGTTATCCAATGTTCACATTTTGTCCATTTTCAGGTATTACGAAACTGGAAGTTTCAAAGCTGGAGTAATTGGAGGTAGCAAACCAAAAGTGGCTACTGCGCCTGTTGTAGATTCCATTGCGAACTACAAACGAGAGAATCCTACTATGTTTGCTTGGGAAATCCGAGACAGACTGTTGGCAGAAGGTGTTTGTACTCAAGACAACGTACCCAGCGTTTCGTCAATCAATCGGTAAGCGATATTTATTATATAAATATATATATATTTATTTTTTTTTTTTAATTATTCAATACATAATATGGTGAAAATTGATAATAATGCACGTACCATTTAAACTTATTTCTTAATGTGTGAACATAAGTACAATATTATTACATATCATATTTTAATATTAAATATAACACTCAAACCTATACTATAATAACCCAATATACCTAATACGTTTGTAATGTATAGACAGAAAACACTTGTATTTTAAACAAAATAATTATAATGAAAGACAAATGACAATTTTATTGTATATTTTTAAAATTCGATTTATGGATATTTGCATATTTTTTTTTCGTATAACCCTAATAATAATAGCCCATATGTCAAAAATATCGTTTTATTCCCTTTATTTTAATTCAACAACTTGTTTGATTAAGATAAAGACCACTAGGTTATTATAGTAACTTGATCGAGGGGCCATTAGAGATTACATGATTAGATGGTGATAGAAAGCAATAACAATAAAAAGGGTGTAACGCCCGGGGATTGGAATATGAACGAAGGAGGGGGCTGATAGTATATATGTTTTTATTAATCGCAAAGTAGTAGAAGCGACTGCACCCGTGGGATTCGGCGGCGTTTTAATAAAATTCCTTACCAATACAACTCTATAATAAATATATATATATACGAGTATACAACTGAAGTAAGCACAATTTACTATGAGGGTCACAAGAGCTCTACAATATACTATGTGACTGTATCAAACGAAAGTATACGTAACTTTTGAAGTTCTACGGAGTTTTACGATTTATCACTGATGATATTACCGTATTACTGTCCGATTTGCAATGTAAATAGCACTTTATTTCATGGCCTAATAGTATCCGAAAGGTGGTTTTCGATAGTTTGTGTGTCCGAAAAAAATTAAACGTAGATTCATAAAATTCGTCATGGAACAAAGAAGGACCTACAGGCTACAGTGAAAACGACTACGGGAAATTACGTAATGGTATCTTGGCGTCGAGAAATTTCCAATTCAAATTACTGATAATAACCAATACTATTATAACATTATAATATGTAATAATATAATATAAAATGAAACTATAATAATATCCCGCTCGAAAAAGAAAAATAACTATTGCATAGGTACATAAACGTTTAAAACTTATCGAACATGCATAATATGCAGAAATTAATTATTGCGATATTTATTGTATAATGATAAAAATTCATATTAGGTATACCTATTATATTATTTAACAATACACAGTAGAATATTCTCTAATTTTTTTTTTTTTATAAATTATGGCGTTTATTGAGAATTTACAATCTGTACATTATATACAATAAGTAAATATGATATAAGAATAATATAAAGACTTTGCAGAGTGACATGAAGGAAGGAAGTTACGTTAGGTCTAATTTAAAAAAAATTTTCTAATCTTTCGTAAAAATAGTTAGGTTAGTTACGTCTTAAATATTTTTTTTATTACTTTTGAGCTAAATAAAAAGTGAAAAAAAAATCAAGGATTGAACAGTTAAACTATTATTAATTAAACGAATTATTATTATTATTTGTTATACTAATGATGTACGCCTAATCGAGTACAAAAATACACGTAAACACCCCTTACAGTAACACGATACACGATAAAATAATGTTCGTCGACAATGTCTGTTTTAAATATATTCAGTGTTGGAAAAAAAACCCGGACTAGACCCTTGAACATCGAATAATACACAACACATTACAATGTTTAAGCTTCACTAAACTCGTATTGTTATCGATCATCGTCGTCGTTGTCGTCGTCCGAGGCTGTTAATCATTGACGGCCAGTCGGAACGGAAAGACCGGCGGCGGCGGCACATCTGTTGTGCTACGAAAATCATCGGGTCGTGTTATTATTATTAATATCATTATCTTCATAAAGTCGCGCGGAAACGCGCAACCTGTTGTGTGCGTTTTTCACACCCTCGCACTTCACGTCGGGGAGAGGTCTTTTTATTCCAGTGGCGGGCGCGCGCCCCGAGTGTATACACGCACACACTCGGTGTACACACCAGTATATACGGCCATTTATCATTTCCGTGCGATTGAGTCGAAAAAGCCTAATCTGAAAACGATAACACTCTGTGCACGGAATCGTGATGACTCGATGACTCAATGACCCGTCCCTCGCGTTTAACGGCGCGCACCATCCGAAAATCACATTTCACAGTGGCGAGTTTCGAACTAACAGCAGCTAAGCTAGTGGCGTAACGCGCATATAAGGCGTTCAAACGAGCGCGAGCRTCCGAGTCAGCTCGACGACGTTGTGGCTAGYTGCTGCATAGCCCAAACACTATACATTTCAAAAATCATATACAGTCTCTCATCAACAAGTTTATTACGTGTTTAACGCTGCAGTTATTCAACAACGCTAGATTGCTGCAGGAGCTGTTTTGGTAGACACGTTAGAATACGGCAGGATCATATAATTGTGTGCACGTACAGAAAAACGAATAAAAACTGTGTATGTGTGTGTGTGTGTGTATACATATATATATATGTGCTTAAAGAAAATAGAAGAAAAAAACACTTTTGTCGATCGCAGTCGAATATATATATATATATATTATATGTATACGCGCACACGCCGACACGGCAAACGGGGAAAGAGACGTGCGCTGGATTCTTTGCAATATCGATCTCTCCCTTCTTTTTTTCTTCGTCGACCCTTTGAGCAGCCATTCACCCCCGTCAGCGTCTTCTCCTCCGACCAAGGCACTTTTCTCGGCTTCCTCCTTAACACACACACACACACACATCCACACACCGGCCATGTCGCCTGCCCGCCGCCTTTCGTTTCGACCGGAAAACCGTGGAAAATTATACCCCTTTGGAGTTTTTCGCGTGCGACAGAACGCCGGAATCGTAGCGCATATTATCAGTCGCTACGTTATACCATGCGCACACCGTATGTGCGCTATGCGCATATAGTTCCTATCGACTGCAGGTTTTTATTACTCGATAATATAAACGTCGCCGTGCCTAATGACGGGATAGTTGTGGTCGAGATGACAATCTACCCCAAAAACTGGCCCCCTCCCTGTCGGAGAGTTAGTGAAAATCCGTCGACGACGGTTTATTAAATGTGACAAATCGACCGAGGGTGTGGACCGTACATCATCATCATAAGTAAAATATTCAGTGATCCGAAGATGTTATCTGCGTCGCATATGTCGAGTTTGTAGCATTTCAAGCGCCGAGCTCGTACGGCGGCTTCGCGTGCAGTATCCGATGACAAAGTATAACGAGAAAATTTAATTACCATGTTCATTATGGTTACCGTGGCGTACAAATATATAGACGGAGTACTATATTATATACATAGGTATTGTCGCCGAGAAAGCCGAATATGTATAAATATTGGCTCAGTTGTATTTTTTTTTCTTTTTATCTATCGCGAGTTTCGTACGCGAAAACTGGGCACTCGGCTGGTGGGGGAAATAATAAAAACACACGTAAGCACAATGGCGTTTTCCAATCTTTCCCTCTCCAGTATCCACACGAAAACCGCAGATTTGCCACGGTAAACTGAACCCGCGTCATGCTAAACACTTTAACAACACTATATAACCACAAACGTCACACCACAAAATGTGTCCTATAGTAGTGTCGCAATAATATGGCTGAACGAGTATAATATGCTCGAATATTAAATTCGTGAAATTTCGTTCTTGTACAATGTAGGTATTAAATAGGTAGGTTACCTATACGGCTATACTATATAATATATATTATACACGTATAAGCTATACAGTTCCCCAACTATATGATATTGTGGTAGTTCACATTTATCCGTAAAGAGATATATGATTTTACACRAAATATTTGTAGTTGGCTTTAAATTTTATACACACATTTTTTTTTATCAAAAGAATACAAAACTTTAATATTATATTATATTACATATTATTTTGTCCAATAAATTTAATTTAATCTTTAAAAAGTATTTTTAATAACATATAATTTTATGATAACTCACTACCTACATACTTATACTAAGTCTCATTTCCAATAAAATATTTATAAGATATTAATAAAAATATATATTCTACAATTCTAAAGGGTTAACACCAGATTAATAAAAATTAATAGTCTAAATATATTTATATCTAATATCTATAGTAAACGGAAGATACGCAATAAATTCAAAAATGTTTGTACTTTAAGGACAATTTTCCATAATGAATAACTACAGAATTTATAATTTACTTTCAATCCAAAAAAAAGAAGATTATACCTATAGCCGACACATTTTTACGCCATCGTATGGTTATGGAAGTTCATTTTTTCATTTTCATGATTAGTTTTATTCCTATTCATATTTATTACGAAACTAGAACTGAATCCAGATGATTGTGATTCAATGTCAACAAAAATTTTAGTTCAAAATTAGATTGGTAGATTTACTAATAATTGACTTGTGATATTTTACTGTTTAGATGTGTAATGATAAATTGAAATTTATTTTTCTCTACAAGCTATATCTATAGGTATTAATGTACTATATTGTGTCAAAATATATTTTATATACATTTCAACGTAACATAATATAACAGTATCAATAGTTGTAAGTATGTTTTATACTTTTACACTATATGTTTATATATATATATGTCAAACAATCAATATAATATAACATAGATAATTTTTATGAATCTAAAAAAAAAAACAAAAATTGTTTGAAAATCTTTTATTTTATTATATCTAAACTATTTCACGTTAATGCGAATGTTAAAAATAATAATATAATATACGACTGAGAATAAAAATAAGCTTCTAATTCCTTTTTTTTTTTTCTTTTGGATGGAAGTACTAACATTTTTTCAACGAGCTATAAAAACGTAGCGAAAAGAGGGCACCTAATATAATGTAATTTTCCATGTACGCAAACTATATTGTACACGCATAATCAGCGATTACGACAACGGTGTATGTAATACGCGGGTCTGTCACTGGTGGCTCATAGTGGCGGAATAACGACGGCGAGGACTAAGGGTCGCGCACCCCTTACGATAATCATAATAATATATAACGGCAATAATTCCACCCCGACGCCGCGTATCCGGCCAATCGGACGCGGCAAATACCATTAAAACACAACCAATCGCGTCGCGCGCACTTCTATCACCGTAGTACCGTATAACATGGCAATATAATAATAATTATTATTATTATTACAATTGGTATATAATATATAGTTAAAGTGTGGAGGTTGGAGAGTGTTCTGGACATGCTTATGGTTTATTATTATAAATACATAGGTATAATATGCCAGTGCTGGTTCAGAAACGGACCCAGATTAATGCATTCGAAAGAAAAATGATATCATTAATTAGGTTAAACGAAACTTTTCTACAATCTATATGCTATAACGATATTATTACTATTTGTAGAAACCTAGAGTAAAAACAATAACAATATTTGTCCATCATCACGTCCATTATTGATAAAACATAATAATATAATATCACGTATATTATACACTATATGATAATAATAAGACGCTTTGATATACACTTTAATATGTCCACCATTCAGACATTCAGACTCGTTCGAAATAATAATCGATCCGAAACCGAAAAAAATTAACTGTGAAACGAGCATTTTGCTTGTTTTAACTTTTTTTTAACGACATTCGTTTTGAGATAATCGCTTAACCGGAAAACCAATTAACCCAGATTTCGTTTGCATCCTAATAGTCAATCAACTCACCACTGCCACTTTAACCAAGCACAATATATATATATATGTATAGCCAACTAGGTATCGACATTACTGGTTTCTAAACCACTCACTGTATATATTTTATTCATAATTAACACAGTATACTAGTCTATTATCTAATATTCTAAGCCATATTTCGGAATCCACAATTAATATAAAATAATAATATGTTCGATTGGATATTATTGTAAAATAACCTAGTTAAAACAAAACTTTTATTACTTAATCAGTTTTATTGTTTTTAAATAAGTACCTATTGCATTACAACACTTCTATAATACTGAGATTAATTTTAACAAATTTGTATTACAAAATATTTTCGAGGATAAAAAAAAAAAACAGGACAAGTAAAAATTATTATTTAAAATAATGGTCACCTGCAATAATATAGATTTCAATACTGACATTGATTTTATATTTTTAACGATTGTTTTACTTTCTCTAATTTATAAAAGTTTGGTATAACAATTACATAARCTATTTAAACATTTAAAGTGTAGTCGAAAACTTAATTTTAAACGAACTTGAAATCTTTACTGTCTACTTGGATTAAACGACTATTGTAATAATTTAGCTTATTTCGGTTAATTTTAAAATAAATCCGCAAAGTTAGCAAAATGTTTTTGTTTAATTACGCATCATCCCTATATTATATCTTGCGTGTGTACATAGTCGTAATTAAAAATAAACTAATCCAATATTTCGATGATGTCTTACGATAATTATAAAATAGATAGAATTTAACATTAGCATATAGGTATACTATTAAAACCATGTTATTACCAGTTAATAGTTATATAATACAAACCGAAATCTATAAATAAGAAAAAAATTATATTATAATAATTGTGATACATTTAACACATATTAAGATCCGAGAGTTGAATTATTTATTGTTTGTAAACTATTCACTTATAGTTTAAGCAACATTCTCAAGTTAATTAACTCCAGTTAATTGTATTCATTAACTTGCCTTACTAGGTTAGGTTAGGTACCTTATATTGATTTCGAAATCGATGTAAAATATAAACTATAGTTTTGATACACGATACACTATATAGATGGATTTAAATATTCTGATATACAAAATTATTAATAAAAAAAAATTCTAAAATAAATATTACATATTATTATCATTAAACCAGGATTATTTAAACGATTGACAGGTCGAATACACCGGCAACTGTACAAGTTTCCGATATCGGACGCAATAGGTAATAACTAATAATAATCTTGGTTTAGTCGTACTCATATAAGAGTATAATACGACCATAAACTGCATACAGTGTATAATATTACAGTTACAACTACGCTCGTTATGAAGATAATACATAAATTGCGAATAAATAAATGTGATTGTTCTAAGATAATCGTTATGCCGAAAAGATTAAAACTTAAAAGAAAAA